TTTTTTTTTTTTTTTTTTTTTTTTTTTTTTTTTCCTGCATAGTCTGTTTTACATAATAAGATTTGAATATAATAACTCATTTCCAAACAGGCAATTCAATTCAAAATTGTTTTTATATGTATCCTATTAGTTTGACATTTAGAAGGCTATGCCTTTAAAAGCCATGAGGCTACAGCAAAATGAAAGGTTACAGTATTTCATTCATCTGGATATAAAACTTCAGGAAAGATCAGGATTCTTCTAGTAGGACAGACATGCAGAAGGTGAAGTGAAAGCAGTATCAAATGATTGCCATTTAAAAAAAACCCTTTTTCTTCCCCCAGACATATTATTACCAAGTAATGTGAACTTTTCTGCATATAAAGACTGCATACCTGCATGCAAACACAGGACTGTGAAATATTCAAATTCAACCAATCCAGATTAGTTCTGAAAATGGGATTAGACCTTACATGCATTATGTTTATATCAAAATACAGCACTTGAGGAAGAACACTTAATACTGTAATTAATGACAGATACCTAAGAAGTAACTTTATCTGTACATGAATGCCTGCAATAGCAGTCTCTCAGATGAAGTATAAATTGACATAGTAGTTTAAAGTATAGTTTAACATTTCATGACAAAAAATGGGGTTATAAGAGAATGATGAGGTCCACACTACCACTTATTTGTATACTTTACAGTTGTAAGAAAACTACTGGTTCAGAGAATTTTCAAAAGTGTGGTTAGTTTTTTAATTATTTTACTTTTTAAAATACTTTTTCTTCTGTTTCTGTTATAAACCAGTGTTTTACTGTGACAAGCTTGCATCAGAACTTACACTGCTTCTGCTTAGTCCAGAAAAATGTAAACACAAGGAGAATGCAACTGCAGGCTTTTCTGTATGGGGTAAAAAGATTGGCCCTGAGTGGAACAGGCAAATTAACAGCACATGCACTGGGAAAAGGTGGACTTCTCTAAATACATAGTAAACACAAATACGGATTAAAAGATTTCTGAACATCAAAGAGGTATGTTCAGTTTTGAAGCTCTCCATTATAGTTTTCATGTGCCTATAGGTCCATCAAATAGTTAAAGGACAAGATTTGAATTTGTACAAGTTATTCAGATCATATATTCATTTCCTTAAAATTTTAATTGTAAACCAGAATCCAGGCAAGGTCATTTTCTCCTTAAACCATAATGGTTCTCCCCTAGTGTCCCTTCCAATTTATTTCTTTGTCAAAAATCTTAAAACTTCTAAAATTAATTGTTAGAAAATTCTATGGAGTTAAAGACAAAATTTGTGGGTCCTTTTGATTTTTTTTTTTTTTTTAAGACCTAGTTCTCTTCTACAGCCAAGGAGTAAGTTCTTTCTGGATCAAACTACTTGAACAGCTTAAAGAAAAAAGGATTTACTGCTGGGTACTTAATGCTCTCTCAAGAAAGCTGCTCTCACGAAGTGAACACATTGCATCCATCAGCACATGAATCTGAGGACCACATACACTGGTTTCAGTGCCTTATATCTACCATCTGACAGACACACAATCTTTGGTAAATGATTGATTTAAACTCATTCTTCTGTATGCCTGCAGCAATAGCAGATATTTAGAAAAAAAAAAATCATTATTTTCCTTTCAAATAAAACTAAAATCTAGAGATACCTTAGATGACCAGCTGAATCAAAAAAATTATTTAGCTACAGAGTCTGAATATCTCTCTTGTGAAGACTTTTTAAAGATTATCTTTCCAAATTATGTAGTATCCTGAAAATGCATAATCTTAAAAAATGCTTGTAATAAAAATTCCTTGCAGCATATTATTTATAACGCAGTAAGGTTAAATATAAATCTTTCAGAATATACCGCCATAAGAGGTAGTTTACATTAACCAAAAGGTATTATGTTTGGGTGTGTTTTGCCATGGAAACAAAATCTTGAAACACAAAAATGTGAGTTACAGCCACCTCTACAACCCATTTTATACTGCATGAAAGAATGAAAGGAAGGCTTGGTACATTTTCGTTGGTCCTCCCCACTTTCCATATGCCAATTGCGAATTATGCTTCATAAGATAAATAACTAGTCAAGAGTGAAGAGATGAGCTGCTTCGGAGCACTTCCTCAGGCCTGATGGGCTGACTACCTGTCAGATAATGTTGAAAGCAGGACTGTGTCTGAAAAGGTTGACAGACCACAGCTTTATCTCTCTAAATCAAACACGGTATGTTTAGCTAAACTCATTGAACTTTAATTAATTAGCACATCATTACAGTAAATTTATACTGAATAATTTTTAAAAGGCTTTAATCCAGAGCGTACACTACATATACTTAACTTGAAATAGTAAAAGCAAGCTATTATAGGAGAGATTTCTTCCTAAAAGTTTCAACTGAAGAATCAGCCAATGCAACTTTTTTACCCTAACGGTTCAAGATGAAGCCATTTCCAAAAAATATGACATTAAAAAAATAAAAATATGTACACACAAAAAAAAGCTCAGGCCACTTGAATGTGGAAATCAAAAGGTTACGCAGTCCTGTATGGATTTTACTCTCCAGAACTTTTTGTATTTTAGATCATTTTATGAAAAAAATATCAGGGAACAGGAATTTCAATTGAAGTAAACAACATTATAAAGATACTCAAATCTATAAATCTGGTAAAAAATTCATCCTAAATCAGAACTGCAGAAACTTTTGGAAAATAAAAAATAATTTTGAAGAAACAAAACCATGTTTATTTTTCAGTTTACAATGGCATCAACGTGTTCTGGTTGGAACAGGGTATACAAAAAAAAAAAAGCAAGAAATGTTAAAGAAGAAACAGAAATCTTCTGTGCTTGGTAAGCATAGGAGAGTTGTTACAACTCCATCTTGGGCTTCTCTGAATGTCCTCCTTTGTTACTGACTTGTGAAACAGGCACTCCTAAAAGAACAGGAAATATATTGTAATACAGTAGAGGTGAAGCTGCTTTCTGGCTAAGCAGAGAAAGTTTCAAGGCTGCACTTAAAAAAAAAAAAAAACGTTATGAGAGAATATATGTCCAAATTAAGAATTCTGAATCTGCTCCTTAGAGATTAATATTTGTTTCTTTTGAAAGAGTATAGAAAGAACAAAGAAGAATATGCAACCCCCAGTACTCTCTGCATTTCAGAGAGAAACAAAATCTTTTCAAGCTCAGGAAAAGATTTTTCCTAACCACAACAATTCTAAAAGTGAATTGTGGTTAGGAGCACTCGGGTCGCTCCAGTACAAAGTATCATAATTTGCATGCATGTATCTTTAACGGATAAGGATGCATTTACTTGACAACACTTACTTGTCTTTCAAGTACCTAGTTCTACTGTTTCTGTCTGCTACCACTCAAGATTGCACCAGTTCACCACCTACATCAATACAATCACCAAATTTCTGAGCTCATTTTTAGATAGATAAAGCAAAGCATACTCTGTATTTCAATTTCTGATACAAACTTTACAGAACACCAGCTGTTAATTTGATTTGTAGATAAAAGATTAGCGCTTTTTTGTTTTTGTTTTTGGGTTTTTTTGTTAACAGAACTTCTGTTCCAATTCAGTCACTCATTTTGTAATCAAATAATTGAGTTCAGGACTTCAACTACTTCTAAAGATTCCTACAATCCTAAAACAATTAGATGAGATCCACAGTAGTACTTGTTTCTATATTAAATGCAACCTGCTCATAGCTGGAGCTGCAATCTTTTTCTTTCCTTCATGTTTTCAGACTGCTTCTATTGAAATTAAACTTTTTTTTTTTTTTTCCCCACTTTTATGCAAAAATAATGTTTTAGGAAGGAATACGTCTTCATATTTTATAAACAGAATAATGGAACATAAAATATGCCACTGAAGCAGAAGCCCTTTTACCCAACACACATCTCGATTCATGGCACTCCTTATGACACCAGTAAAGTTGTACACAAGAACCAGGTAATATATTGTGGCCTAAATTTAAAAAACCTGTCTAAAAATTTGGTATAATTGTAGCCTGAGAAAGTTTGAGCATTGTTTCTACTTCTGCTTCTTGTCATTTATTTTACTATATTCCTCCTTAATCCTTAGAAGAAAAAAAAAAAGTTTTAAGGAAAGCTTCTACTTTCAGTTTAAATAATCTGTGTCATATTCAAATTATGGTAGTCAAAGCCCTACAAAAGTATTTGATGCTAGAAAACACAAACATTTCCAACAGTATTTTCGAAATGTACTCTACCCACTATCCTTAATAGGTCCATTTGTAAGGAACTTCTCAAAAGTCTGAAATTATGGCCATTCTATTTCAAGATGAAAACGTGCAGTTAAAATCCACAAAATAATTTTACAGCTTTTATACACCTCTACATTTGTAACTGACAGAGTAGCATTGCCTTATTATCAATATTTCGCAGATACCTTTCTCTCAGATACTTTAAGAATCCTATTGCATCATTTTCCTTTCTGAAATGTTTTGATCTTTTAGCAGCATTAGGATAATTTCTCCAGCGTACATCACTGTACAACTGAAAGCTAGTGGATAAAAAAATCTGGAGTGAACCTTTAAAGTTTTTCCATACTACATGAGTATCTTTGAAAACAAACCCCACCAATATCCAAGCTTACATTGATCTTTCTGGTTTTCAATACAAATGAACTGCGGGGCATGGGACACATGTTTTGGGAACATGAAAAATTCCACGATAAATCAAAATTTGAACAGATTCCAGACTGTTTTCATCATGCTGCAACTATCTTCTTGGGTTTGTTAATGACTATATTCATGACTGCACGGGCCAGATGACACCTCTAGGAGCTGGAGGCACTAAACCAAGGTTTTTCTGGGTTTTACTGTTTGGTTTATTGTGGTTTTTTAAAAATGAAAAATATCGAATTTTATCTCCAGTTTTAGAGACTTTTGATAATTTAAAGCTTTGCTTTCCTTGTAAATGTAAACAGATTTTTCCAAGTTACGGATTCTAGCCAACAAGAGAATTGAAAATTGTGTCCAAGATGTTTGTACTGACATCTGGAGGGCAGGACATACCAGAATCAGGCAATGGACTACAAGCAAGAAATTGCCTGTAAACCAGCATAATAAATGCAGTGCTAGAAGAAATTTCAAACAGGACAAGAGCAACTGCTTAGTAAGAAACACAAGGTGTTTTATGGTTTTTGTTAGGCATTCCCCCCTGCCCTATAATAATTTATTTAATGTTGTTTTACTTTTATTTATGAGAGCTTATTGTATTCATTCTGAAAGAAAATAATACTGCAGTTATGTAGACAAAGCAAGTATGAAACAACCACAGGAAATCACAGAGCATTATTTGGCAAAGTTCTGCAGAACAAAACCTACAAAGGCTGGGATCTAATGACCTGTATCTAGAAAACTATCAGCGATAATTCAAAACCAATCTTGATATTATGTGAAGCTTCAGTGCAAAAAAGAGTCGTAGAGACAATTTCAGAAAGCTCTGTGAACATTAAATGTTTCTGTGATATGCCAACAAAGCAAAAACCCCCATCACTTAAGCTATTATGGAAGACAAATAAAAACCCAACAGACTGTAGTGTATTGAAGCTGTTTGGGATATTTTTACTAGCAAATCTGTACAGATGTGCACGTGCACTCCCTCTCACACACACCATCTAGCCCCCATATGGCCAGACATAAATGTTTCAGTGGGTATTTAAATACACAGGTGCCGTTTGCAAATGTGTGGCCTAAATATCAAAGGACAAGGTCAGCTCTGCATTCACGGCAGTCCCTGTCTACAGGCTCACCCATTACATCTCCTTGTGTGGTGTGTCATGTCTTCCTACTGTCTTCAATATCTGACAATCGATAGTCTATCAAGTACAAAATGTTTTTCTGTTTTTCTCTCTCATGATGTAATTTTATCCTCCATTATATGTTACATGGCTAGAATTACAGAGATGTTTGCAGACCCTGGACTTTATCTCCGAACAACGAAGAACAATTTCTCTACAGGTTTTATGTTCCATTGGATTTCTTTGTCTTTGAATGTTTCATCCTTTCAACTACTTTTCTAACAATGAGCTCTACTAGAAATGCAATTCCAACAAACTGCTACAACAATTTTTTAAAAGCTTCTACATACCCATAAATTCTCTCTCCTCACTGCTACAAAACTTTGCAATTCTTTAACAATACATTTGAAAAGTTTTTCCTAAGTTCAAGCACAACACGGAAATAGATTCAAATTCTGCTCACTTTAATGATATGTTGCTACTTCTTTAAAAGCAAACCATGATTGCCTTCAGTGAAGAGGTATCTTTTTCTGAAATGTATTTTCCTTACTAATAGACTCTATATTATTTCAACAGAAAATAAATATCCAATAGACTCCATGAACATAATCCTAGCTTCCTTCAGAGTGGTTATCCATTAGGAGAAGAAATTAAACTTTTAGTAAGTCTCCCTTTAAGGTTTTCACTGTAGAAAAGAAGATTTCAAAGTAAGATGTGCTTTTGTCAAATCCACCCTGTAATGAGCAGTGTTCACGTGTAAAGAAATTCTCAAGTATCATTGGAACGTCTGACAAATGTGGTATTTTTTTCAGGATCAGATACGGTTGTGGGTTTTTTTTTGTAAGGAAATCATTAATTAATTTCCAAATAGTTGATTTGACATCTTAATCAGCCCCCAGTATGGTGAAATTTGGTTTTGTTCTCTAATCAACTTAATTCAAACTCATACTATGCTCTATAAAGTCATCAGGACCCTTTTGTGTCCATCTAGTTCTATTTCATCCATTAATTCTTGCAGAGCTTAAAGCTACACAATTTGACAATGTAACCCGATTACATAAGGAAAATGCTGTACCACCTTAAAGTTAGATTTTTTTTCTCCCTCTCTCTCTTACTGAGGAAAAAACCCAAATACATTCTTTTGTCTGCTCAGTCTGACTGACAGCTTCTATGGACTGACCTAATGAACGTTTCAGCCCAAGAGCCTTCACGTATCCCCTGATAAGTAGTGAACTGAAGTTTTACCTTGGGCATTGTCTCATAAGCCACCAATGATATCAGTATAGTTCCAAGGTCTCAAAAAACCCTCCCTGTAAACGCTTGAGGAAGATAAGCTCCTGTGGGAATGCTGTCAATAAGATTTCACACCACCACCCCCCCCATTATGTTATTTCAGAAATCTGTTCATTTTGAAATAAAAAAATAAATCCTCACAATCACTGAACATTTTCTCCATTTCAGTGATATGTCTATTTTTCTTTGTAACTTAAATTTGTAGGAAAAAATGCAGAAAGGCTCACATTCCACTCCAGTAATATATTCATGGAGTTACAGGCACATAGACACTGCTGCACAATTTTATATACCTGACTTATAATTATTTAAATAGAATCCTCTCTAACAACAGAAGAAATACCTAATACAGTAACAGAAAATGGAAGAAAAAAATTACAGAAATCACAGAGAAAATGGGAAGTAAACATAATACAGATCTAACAAAGAACTCCAATATCTTCTTTATTTTTAAACATCCATCTGAAACACACTGCACAGTTTGTATATGGTTTTTAAATAAAAATATTATGATGTTATAGACTTCTATGAGAGGGTAAAGGAGGATGAGCTAAAGCACACACTGATAGATACACTAGTTATAATATTCTCACTATATCTTATAGCCTATAATGAATGTTTTCCTCAAAAAAAGAAATCAGGAGTATAATATACTGAAATCTTCCACTGAGACAAGCACAAGAAATCGTATCAAAGGCTATTTTCTGCAGTATGTTTTGAAGGGGACTAAAAAACCCTAACTCTTTCAAGGTTAGTGTCTTGTTTTTACAGAATACAGATGATCCTAGGATTTGGAATTAGAGTTACTTAAAATGTACAACTATGAGAATCATTATTAACCCACATTATCAATATCTCATAATTAAA